CTTCAGTGAGGCAAGTGACCAAATAATAGAAAAGTAGCATAGTTAGTATTTGGAAACAAGCAAGGAGGTGAGTCAAGCTGTTCCATGTGAATTGGATGATTCAAAGGTTAATTATTTCCGTGAGTAGTAGTACCAGTGTGTCATCTGTGCTCCTGAAAAGAATCTAGCTCCTTAGAGTGTGTCATTTGTGCTTCTTAAAGAAACCAGCTGGAGCGATCCCTGGTCTACACTCCATCCTTCTTCCCTGCTCTGTGTCTATGGCAACTCATTTCTATTAATTCTATTAATGGGCTTTCTTGTCTAGTTTCCTATTGGTGCTGGCCAATGGCAGGAATGTGCCGGAAATCAAAAGGGTCTGCGGGAGTTGGCAAATCCCTAAAGCAAAATTCTTAGCCTCTGTTAGGAAGCTCTCCACAGCATACTCATCTCTGCCCCCAGGTTCCAGTAACTTCTTAACTCCTTTTCTGCCCCTTCTGTTTGCAGACCTAGAGATGAAAAGAACAACAGCACCTCACACCAATTGTTCAACTTGCAGCTTTGAATATTTCCTCCAATTCTACTTGGATGGACCATCCCTTTCCACCTAGGAACTCAATAGTAGCCCAAGATATAGAGGGTATAAATTTGTTCTTCTCAGTAGCCAACCTTTCTTTTGCAAGTTCTTGCTAAGATTTAACTAAATTCCCCAGTTTCTACTCTCAGTTGGAATTTTGCATTTATCTGGACTTTATTGTTAAAAAAAACCTTTTTGATTCTTATTTTCATTTTGTTTGAAATCTGTTCTCCATTCACATCATGACATTCTCTTTGCACTTCATAAAGCAACACTGATCTCAGATTGGTCTCTAGCATGAGAAATGAGCTTAAATTCTCTGAACCAACATGACCACATAGCATGGGCTCTATCCCCATCACTGACTCCCAGTTGCTTTAAAACCATCAACCCCTCTGCCCCACTCCCACCACTGTCCTCACTCCCATTGCTCATTTTCACACATTCTTTGTCTCATCAATACCATCACCTGAATATTGGCTACTTTTATTCTCAAGAAACCCACATAGCTTCCCAGTATCATATTTGAGTTCCTTTTCTCAAACCGTGCTTCATTGGGCTAATATGTCATTAGCACCGTTTCCTCCCTCAGTTCCCAAAGTAAGCCTAATTATTCAACTTTTGTCATTGGGAGTTGTGACGCACTAGAGAAAAAAATTAAGACACAGGGCCAGTACAGTAGCCTAGCGGCTGAAGTCCTCACCTTGAATGAGCTGATCCCATATGGGCACTGGTTCTAATCCGGGCATCCCTGCTTCCCATCCAACTCCCTGCTTGTGGCCTGGGAAAGTAGTCAAGAACGGCTCAAAGCCTTGGGATCCTGCATCCACATGAGAGACCAAGAAGAAGTTCTTGGCTCCTGGCTTTGGATTGGCTCAGCTCCGGCCGTTGTGGTTTCTTGGGGAGTGAATCATGGGATGGAAGTTCTTCCTCTTTGTCTCTCCTCCTCTCTGTATATCTGCCTTTCCAACAAAAATAAATATTTATTAAAGATAAATTATCTTGAGTATTAGTAGAAATCTATAATGAAGACTATATCCTATGCTGTCTCACTATCCCAAACAACTGTCTCAGTCTTCTCAAGCTTATCTTCCACTGTGTAGTGAAGATAGAAGACACCAGATGAGAATGCAAGACACTTGCTTACCGTTCTGCCTACAGATTCTCTCATCCGTTCCTCATCATCAGCGGTTCCTGCATTTCCTCAGGCCTTGAGCTAGCCTTTCTTCTCCTTTCTTTGTGTTTAACTTCACTCCCTGCACAGGGTACTGCACGCCACATTCCCCAAAATGAATTTTTTAAAAATTCTGTCTCCATCCAACTTCTTATAGTTCTCATATCCTTCAAAGTCAATTTTCCTAACAGAATCATGTTTTCATATTAGCCTAATTCCTTTACTTCTTATTCATTCTTCAATCTATATACTTTTAGTTTCCCACCACATTTCCCATCATTCTCTCAGCCTTCCATTTACCCAAGGTCCTAAATGATTTGTAAGTTGCTATAATAATGCATATCTTTTGTTTCCTCCTTGGAAGCCTTCTCATTGCATTCTCTATATGCCTGTGAGGGGATCTCTTATTTCTTTATTTTATTATTATTATTACTATTATTTTTACTATTCTCTTGCCTTTCCTAAGCTTTTTCCAAACTACACTTTTTCTGTCTTCCCAGCTATTCCTTGTCACTTCTTCCAGATCATTACTTCTGACTTTTGAAGATAAAGATGTTTCACAGCTCAGTTCTAAGACCTTTTGCTTCTTTTTCTTAGGTTATGTTATTTGCTTTTGTAGCTTCAGTTGCAATCCACACTCCTATGGCTATCTGTTGCTCTATAATCACAGGCTTACTGCTCCTCTAAACGAATAATTCTAAAAGTAAAAAGCGTGAAGTTCTGCAGGAATACAGACAAGGGTTATAAACGATTACTGAATCACAGGAGGTCAATTTTATTGTCCACTTTAGCTACTTTTCCTTTTATCTTTCTTCCTTCCTTTCTTCCTTCCTTCCTTTCTTTCTTTCTTCCTTTCTTCCTTTCTTCCTTTCTTCCTTCCTTTCTTTCTTTCTTGGAATTCTCTATACTAACTATTACAAAACAGGGAAAACATAAAAGTTCTGTCTTTTTTGGCTTCATTTCACTAAACATGGTGATATACAAAGCATTTAATAGCCTCTATCCTTCTCTCTATGCTTCTCATCTTAACATTTTATACTTCAAACACGCTGGCATTCACTTATTCCCATCACATCATATCTTTACCATCTGTTGTGGTCTACTCCTAGCCTCTTTGCCTTTTCTCCATTTGTCTTTCTAAATTGTTTATACTGTAGAACTCAGTCTCAGTGCTATGTTATCAGAGAAGCATAAAGGCTGAGTCTTCACATTCTTCCATTCTTTTTTTTTAACAAAAGAATTTTGTTTCCCACAACACATTTTTGTATAGATAGGAATTAATCTCTCTCTTCTAAAATGATTTCGTATCACAGTATATTTCCCCATTATATAATCTAGTTACTTATGTGTGGATTGTATAATACTTAACCCTTCACCACTGGCTTATATTGTTTCTTTCTGAATTCTCACTAAATAGTAACTGTTCAAAGGGATTCATTCATTCATTCACTGAAGAATATTTTCTTTGAAGAGAGCTTTCTCAATGTATAGAGGCAGGCCACCTACAACAATATTGTAGCTCTAGCCTAGTGTTTCGTGAGAGAAAACTCAAACTCATTTAATGTGTTGAATTTGGGAGTTTCATTCTGTCAAATCCCTTTTCTTCATTACTTGATATTATCACATGCTTTTTATTTATTTTTTAAACGGCGCATGTGGAGTATATTAATTAATTTAGAGCAGTGAGTCAACCCAGCTTGTTTACCTGGAATAAATGCCAGTTAGTCATGATGTTTAGTTATTTTTAATTCTTAAAAATGTAAAACCAGGACATCTTTTTTATTCCCAGGTCTTGTGAAATATGCAATAAATGTGGCACTTCTGATCCATTGTCTACTGACCAGTGAGACTGAGAAACACGTTGCAAGAATTAGTAGAATTTTTTTTCTCCCAAGCTTTGTCAAGTCTTTAGGATACAGTGCAGTCCAGGATCACTAACTTGGTGATGCACTGGCTCCTGCAGGAATGGAGTTGGTCTTATTATCTGCTGTGTAGCTGAATTTATCTATCAGACCCAATGCGATACAAAAATGGTGCTAATTGCCTAATGAGACCACTTCCCTGGAGTCTTGGCCAGCAAAGATACCAGGGTGTAGGAATGCACTCTTAACTAGAAGATGATATAATTTGTTGAATGGCTATTAGCATGATGTAGTTTCAACATGCCACAAAAGGAGCCAACTAGCTGGCTGGTACCATCTCTACAATCTATGGCTCAGTGATGCTGAGATTATTTGGAATACAGTTGTTACATAGGACACAAAATCATTTTGTACTGGGTTCCAAGAACTGCTGCAGAGAGTGTAGCTGGCTCACAATCTCCAGCACCACAAGTTGTGATTGGCAGGAGTGCCAAAGCTATGTTCTTGCCCACGATTTCTAGTTACTGATAATCGATTTTTTTTTAGTTAAAATGAAAATCATGCAACTATCATGGATCTAAGCTGCTGCTAGGGATTGCTGAATTTCCAGTCAGACAGTGTGGTTCAAATCCTTGCTACTCAGCTTTCAATTCGACTTCCTGCAAATGCAATCCTGAGATAGCAGATCATGGTTAGAACAGGTCCACATGGGACACTGATAGAGTCCAAGATTCTGGCTTTGGTCTGGTCAAGACCTGGATGTTGCTGGACTTTGCATAAAAAAATAAGCAGTTGTTGAGATGCCAAGGCCTTTCTGCTAGTGCTACTTAATACGAATGACAAATAGCCTTTGACAACAGGTAGCCACACTATCTACCTGCTAAGATCAATATTCGCTATAAAATACGTGGCATTTAAGAGGTGTTTTTAGCATGGGAAACTTCAGGTATGATACCAGAACTATCTTCATTGCAGTTTAAGAAACTAAACTCATAGTAGATGAATATCTGAGAAGGAGGTGGGGATACTATAAAGATAGTCTGAATGAAGGAGAAGTCAATGGCAACTTAGTTCATAAAATCTATAAGAATTTGGATGGGTTACATCTGCAGAGTGATGGGAGAAAGAGAGATGAATAAAAGCCAGAGAGATCCAGGTTTCTTGTTGGAGTGCCAGGGAGGCGGTGGGCTGAATCAAAAGTAGAATACTGCAGTGGCTGCAAGAGACATCTGGTATTGTCCTTCTGTCACTGTCTTAAAAGGGATTCTAAAGAGATTTTCTTTCTCTTGTTCCTCCAGTCCTCCACTTGCATTACTGGCCTAAGTGGATACTCAGCAGCTGGTCACGTCCATCATTACAGCCAAGTCTGAGAATTCCTGCTTATACTTAGAGCCAGTGGAGCTGCTGACACAGTCATTAGCGGACGACCCTATTGTGACAAACTATGCTTTAAAATGTAAACTGTGCGGATATTTTCCTTGTGTTGTCCAGAAGGATCTTTGTCTTGCGTGATCCTGGATCAATCATGAGAGAGCTCGTCAACATTCCACTGGTACATATCCTGACTCTGGTTGCCTTCAGTGGGACGGAGAAGCTTCCCAAAGGTTGGTTTCAGCAATCTTATTGTTGCCTTGCCCCCATTCAAAAATGTGTGTGTGTGTTCCCTTTACAATTCATTCATTATATGTTCTGCTTGTGTTAGAGTTGGTAGAGAGGATGGAATGCATGAAGAGGGGGTCAACTATATGGTTACGCAATTGGTGCATGTTTCCCCTGTACTGATATTTCACTGCTAAGTTCTGTAGGAAAAACTTTGACCATAACAGTGCATGCAGAACCCCGCTTCTGGGGAAAACTTTAGCAGGTGGAATGCAAGTTATCACGGTCTGTTTTGTTTATGTGTGTGTGTCAAACTTCAGGGTGGTCTAAATGGGTGATGAAAACCTTCCACATCCGATTTGCTACGAATATAATTTGCTCCAGTCCCAGACACCCAGAGTATTTGCTTCTGAGCAAAAATCCATTTCCACTTTCAGTTGAACTAAACTCTTAGTATTATAGTTACTAAAATTAAAAAAACATGGAACAATATGCACTATTTGCCTATATTATTGAATCCTAAACACGATGGACCTTAAGAACTGTGAGACTAGAGTCACGATTTGGCTTGTGAGAGACTGCAAAAGTTTTTTTCAGAGCCTCTGGAATGTACCGGATATAACACTACCTCAGGGGAAAGGAAAGCAACTTAAGACACTGACAAACACCTGTTGCAGTAGTGAGACCGTCCACAGTGGTATGCTTTCTGGCCAGTGTATTATGAAACTGAAACTAGTGCATTTTAATTCAGAAATACAAGAAGATATGTGATGTTCAAGATAAATCAAGGACTTCACTGAGTTTTTATTTTTTGAAAATGCTCGAGACACCAGGTTGAATGGCATCAGTTAAAGTTTTAAATTCACATTATTATATGAGAGTGAAAACAGCTCTGTGGTTTAGAATGCCAATTGATTCTTCCCTTTATATTGATTTTATCAAAGCACAGTGTGGAAATATGTAGTATGGAGGTAGAAGAAGGTAGTTGGCTGGGTCTGGATAGCGTATGTATCTTTAGATCTTGTATTTTACAAAATTTTTGAAACTACAGGTAAGGTTCACATGCAAGCAAGATATAAAATTCTTCCTTACAAAGTTTGGTTTGTTCCCTCTCAGTTTCCCTCCTTACAAAGAGCAGATGGTATGTCTATACAGATTTAAATGTTTAATGACCAGCCAACACTTAGAGTATACATAGGTAAAAGGGAATCTAGATGTTTCCACAAGGCTCATAATAGCCAGCAAGACATTCACATTGGCTTTGCAAGATTTTATATCATACAATGGATGCTTTCTGATCATACAACACATGTCGGGTAAGACAGTGCCTGGATGTTTGGACTTACTGTCAAAAGTCTTATTTGTGTTTTTCTGAATTGTGTAGTTACCAAAGTCATACGGCTAAATGTGGAGATTTATAACTCACTCTTACAAGAAGCCGAACAATTGATTTTGGTAATCCAAATCAGCATTTGGTACATGCACACATGCACACACACGCACACACACACACACACACACACACACACACACCTAAAACCTCGCTACACACAGAACCTCTAACATGTACTCTGGAAAGATGTGCTTCCCAGTTTTCAAGCTGCGCACATGAAGCCTCAGATTCTGATACACATTATTTGCGCTTTGAAAACTTCAAAGTACAACAGCAGAGAATAAGTAAAATCAAGCATCCAGCCTTTCAGTAAACAGATCATCAGTCCAATTGTGTTTCATGGAGACTATGCAATACTTGAATTTAAAAATTAAAACTTAGAACAACATTTTTCTTAGTCAACACTGTTTATTGTAAAAATCTAAATTAGTGGAGGCTTAGCAGCAGTCTTAGCCAAAAACACCATTCTCAGATCAATAAACATTCTTTTACTAAGCAAGCTTGTCCTGAGTACAAATAAGATCATGAAAGCAGATTCTGAATATTTTAAATATTGAAATGCATGTGAAATATTAGTAGGAAAGGACAATAAATATTTTGTCAATATCTTAATACTAATGAAAGCAACAAAAATGTCTCCCGAAACTACTGCATAGCTATTTTCTCTATTCTTCGAAAAAAGATATAAGAAAAGAAATTTTGTACATGACAATTTTTTTTCTAAAATTTTATCAGGAAAATATCAAGGAAACTGCCCAATAGCATGCTACCAAATAAATGAACTCATTTAAGAAAAGAATATTAAGGAGTTCTTTCAAAATATGCATACCCTTTCCTCAATAAAAACGGTTCTTAACATTAAAGAGTTAATACTTTGTTGTTTTAGGTTGAGATTACTGATATTCAAGATAAGGAGAGTTGTGTTCTTTCTGAGTCATTCCGACTAGTGATTCTTTCAACAATGAGTTCAATTTCAGAATACCAAGTGGGAAACCATTACAAGTTACCATGTATGAAAACAGTCAACATTTGGTTGAATACTTGTCATAACGACATGCTTCAATAGCACATACTATTTTTTCAGGGAGGAGGAAGTGTATGGTGGAATATTCAGTTGTGCAAGCATGTAAGAATTCATGTAAATAATATTGGATTATCTTAGTATCAGAAAGGACTCTGCCAAAATCCTGCTTTCAAGATTATCTCTATTTCTACCATACCTAGAAATGTTAGAGTCTACGTGATTTATCTTTGGCCATGGTTGAGTAACTTCTTTATTTAAATCATGTGTGTGGATGGGATCCACAGAGTGGACAAATGACTAAGTCACTACGGGTACAGCTGTCACTGAAATCCAGGACACCAAGTCCTGGATGAATGTTTTATATTGACGTGCATTGAGAGACTTACTCACAGTGTGTTCAGGGAAACACAGCTGTTTTTAATATAATCGGCCTCAGAACAGAAAGTGCAGAAACATCAAACTTGCTCTTCTCTAGCTCATTTCCAAAGTTGGAGCAGCAAGTTTTAAGTGAAATAAGACTGAGTTCAGCAGGGGAGCGTGACTAGTGAGGAGGGGGAGGGAGCCCCGGGCTGGGCGTTGCAGCTTCCTACGGCTCTGCTCTGAATAGTTACTCTTTTACTCAGCAGTACCATATAAACTTAAGGACAGCAAGGGCAGAGGGATGAATCAACTCAGGATTGATGCTTTCCAGGCTCAGTGCACCTCAAGAACCCGTGAACAGGAGTAAAGTATCAGTCACACGAGAGTATAATTGATAATGAAGAAAATGATCAAAGGACATTTAAGGCAAACAAGAGAATGCTAGGATCGAGAGCCCTCTTCCATGTTTCCAGTGTCTTTTGTGCATCATATTAGGGAATGGCACAGTATTGGTGAGCCTCAATTTCCTCGTGCATTGATGTGCCTACCTGTGAACATGTATGGTTTTGTAGTATGCTAAGGACTGGCAACGATCAGAGTAATGATGACCCCCAGGTAATACTTTAGTCATCCTTATCTTCAGTTTTGCTTTTCACAGTTCCTTTACCAGCAATTAACTGGAATCTGAAAATATTAAGTGGAAAGCACTGGAAATTTTCAAAAAAATGTATGAGTGAAATTCCATGTAGTTCTACGTGACATAAAATCTTGGGCTATCCTGCTGTGTGTACCTGGAATATATGCATGCTATGTATATATGCTACCTGCATATTAGTTTCTTAAATATCACCTTGGTTGTTAAATACACCATCATAGCACATGCGCTGATGTTATTCTGATTTAACCAAAGCCATTATTTTTGTTATTGTTTAATTTACAAATTAAACTTTATGACACATGTATATGTTTAGCAGGAAAAGATAGTGCATGGAGTTCAGTACAATCTGAGGATTCAGGCACCCGCTAGTGGTCTTGGAATGTATTCTCTCGGATAAGCTGGGTCCTGTGGTATGTCTCTCTTAGATGCTTCTCTACACTATTATATCATAAGGAACTCTTAGAAGAAGTGTTTTCAAAAATTTTAACAAACTGAACAGAACTACATGTCTCTGTCCACTGCCATCCCTGAAAGCAAGGATCAACAGAGTATGTTCTGTTGTGAAGAATTAATGATAAGATTAAATATATGATTATTAGACTTTATTAGCAGCGATTCTTATAAGCTAAAATGACAATACAACAAAAAAGATTTCATTATACTTCCAGGCAAATAAACACTCTAGAGCCTAAGATGTGCAAATAATGAGCAATGCTAAATATTCTCTTTACAGATTGGCAAAGTTTCCAGTGTGTTTTCTCATATAAAAAATCCCTCAGTCATATTAGAGAAACATACTTATTTTCCAAATCCAAGTTCTGATTTTACTAGACAAATAGAAATCAATACCCAAATTTCTTCTGTGCCCAATCATTTGACCATCGGCAACTATTCTACTAGAAGTCGGGATACGAAGGAAGGATAATGTCAGACTTTGCGTTAAGCCATCCTCGCTACGTTCCTCTCCGGGTCCAGGCCTGTGTTCTGTTTTCATGCATTCATTATTCATGTGATCCTCGGAGTGAGAGAACTAACACTCTAGTTTAAACAGCTCTGACTGAGATGAAAGCTGGATCACAGAATGAAAGTAAACAAGAGACAATCTGCTGAGTCAACACGTATCATCAAACACTACTATTTTCATTGTGTCAGTAAAACTCTGAAAATGGTTTTGGCTAATTTTGAAATATCTTAAAGTGAACTTAACTGATTATATCTGACTGTAGGAATTGACACTTACATCTTTTTTCTTTCTACTTAGGATCACCAGTGTTAGCCTAAAAAAAACAAAAAACAAACAAACAAAAAAAACTGAAACCCCTTCTAAGCCTCAGCAGGCACTAGCAATGTGTTCAGATGAATATTCATTTTTATAAAATTCGGGAGAAATTCCTTTTATTTCAGTAGACTTTACATGTTTGATTTGAAAGGCAGAGAGATAGAGATGTCTCCTGACTGGTGGTTTATTACCCAAATGCCTGTAACTGCCCAGGCTGCATCAGAGCAAAAGGACAAACTCATAATTTAATCTCGGCCTTCTATACAAGTGGCAGTGACCCAAGTTTGGGGCCATCATGTATCTTCTCTCAAGGCGAACAATAATAAAAAGTGGGAATAGCAAATGGAACCAAGACTAAAATCCAGGTGTTCTGATCTGGACTATGGGCAGCACATACAGCAGCTTCACCACTGTGCCAACACTGGCCCAAGGAATAATAATATATATTTAAACATGTATAAATAAATACAATAAAATATGTACACATAAAATATATGTTAATATACATAATTGTTAATATAGACGTAATTGTTAAGATTGCTCTCTGCTTCCATCCTAACTTCCCTTGAGACTCAGTCTTTTCATGGTGATGTGCAGGATGGCAACCACAGACATTTTGTATTTGTGCACTGTTTCATTAAAGAGGGCACCCAAATAGCATAACTTCAGAATGCATGGAATCTAGATTGACCACTATTCATATTCAGTAATCCCAAGACCTAATCCCTTCAGAGTTTAGTCTTTTGATTCTCGAATGTTTGACTTGAAAGTGGGAATCACATTCTTCTATAAAATCTTTCTTCCTTCCAGTAGATTTTTTTCTTTTTACTGGGATAATATAATTCTCATTCAGGTGTCCAGCGGCTTCTGTGTGCTTAAGGAAGCGCTGGGAAATGCCCTTTTAGAATGCTCTCCTTTGATTTCTCCTCTCCCTTCAGCACCTGTCATCACCACTCCTCTTGAAACCGTGGATGCCTTAGTTGAAGAAGTGGCTACTTTCATGTGTGCAGTGGAATCCTACCCCCAGCCTGAGATTTCCTGGACTAGAAATAAAATTCTCATTAAGTAAGTATCCTTTTTCTCCTGATAAACACATCCTCTGCTGCTTTGCAGTTCATCTCTGACATAATATAATCACAACTCTTGCTAAGCATTTAAGTTTACCTTAAAGAATTTAAAAGATGTAAACTTCCCCATTTGGTAAAACCTAAGATCTAAAGTTCAATGTCCTTAAGAGAATTTCTCAAAGCTTAGTGATGACTAAATGGACAGAAAAGTTGGGCCATTTTGTGGCTTATGGATACAGGCAAGTTGGAGAAGCCCTGACCATAATCTAGAAGATGTTACACAGTAATTAGTAAATATTGTGATGTCCTACGTGTGAGTGTGCCAACTCTACGACATCCAGGGAAGTTCACAGAGCTCTGGTAATTGAACAAAGATCTGGGAATTTGACCTCTAAATCATCAAGGCATTTTCTTCTGAAATGTAGAAGGAATTTGTGATCTACAGAGAGGCAGTCTTTTGAACAGATTAAAATTCCTACTTGGAATACAAAGATTATGCTATATTTTGCTCATTTTAATGGTAATCTAACCCCAAATACTCAAAAAAGCTGGAGCAGAGACCCACAGGACTTCTAACAAGTGATGCAGTGTGCAGTGAAGTTCAGTGCTTTCTGAAGCATCTGACCTTCATGCAACAGAAATGCCATAAATTGGGTAACTTACAAACAATACAAATTCTCACATAACTTCAAGCTGTTAACTGCAAATTCAAGGAGCCAATAACTAGAGCTGCTGACGACAACTTGCTTCCTGGTTCATAAGTGACTTCCTTTTTGTGTCCTGCCACAAGGGGCGCTGGTGGGTCACTTTCATAAGGGCTTGGACACCACCCTTGATGACTCTTTCTGGGGACCTAATTGCCTTCCAAAATTCCTCTTTTAAATATCGTGACATTGGATGTTAGATATCAACATACGAATTATTGACTTGGGAGAGGAGACGTAAATATTCAATCTATCGATAGTGCTCCGATGTAGAAAAATGTCAACTTTTCTCTAACCTCTAACTGAAGCTTAGTGTCTTCTCCCATACATGCTATGATGCGCTGTTATTACTCATTCTACATGAACCTTCTTGTACTCATACAGGGCAAGCTATCCCAGAAGATCTGTGAAAGGAAGGCTAACAAACCAAACGAAGATTTTGAACTAGCTTTTAACATCTTTTCTAATCTGGGCCAACTAAGAACTTTTCACATCGTCAAGCCATAGTAATTTTTGTGTTTAGCAGTTCTTCCTCAATTGTCCTTTTTTCCCTTGAATTTCATTAAAAGCAGCAAAAGAAAGTAGGCTGTGACCTCAACACTTTGCTTGGAAGTTTACACAGATAAATTGCACAATTCTTCATGTACACATAGTGTTTCTCATATAACTATAGAATGCCGTTCAGCTAAGCATTTTGCTACCCTACCAGTTTCAAAGAATTCCTTATTTGATTTTCCATCAACATGTTCTTTGTCCTCACCGGAACCCTCACTGATGGCGATTTTCACCATTAATCTTCCGACAATCTGTTCATAGTAACTTAGGTATCTCCTGAAAAGACATAGAACTTTCCCTATCGTGCGTGTCACTGCTGAGGCCTCAGTCACAGAGCCATAACCAGGAATATTGCTGCTAGCATTCTCTTCAGGCTTGTCTATTTCTCTCATTTCTGTCTATTCCCCAACTGCAAAGCCACATCTACATTTTGTAATGTTTTAGTTTCAAAAGAATTATACTTTTCCAAGTATCAAAGTTTCTGTTTATTTCTTATCATTGCCTTGATAAATTATTATGGAATTAGTGGACTTAAAAACATTTATTATTTTATGGTTCTGAAGGTCATACATACTTATGACATAATTTTGTTGGGATAAACTCACAGTGTTAGCAGGGATGAATTTTTTCTGGAGGCTTGGGTGGGAAATTCCAATTTCTTCCTTTTCATCTGCTGGGGCCATCTGTCTCCCTGAGCTTTCAAAAATCAAACATACATCACTCTGACCTTTTTTCTATTGTTACATCTTCTCTTTTATACTTCTCTTTATTATTATTTTATTTATTGTTAGTCTTTATCAAGGACCCTTAACCTGTTAATGTTTCTTTTCATAACACATTGTTACTCCATAATATTTCATTTTTATATTCTTAATACAGGCAGAATCCATTTTCGTAAAGTAATATACATATAAGTTCTGTTGATTAAGATATGGGTATTTGGGTGACCATTATCCTGCTTACTATACACATCTGACATGAAGAAATTTTATGTGGTTAAAAAAAATCCCATTCACTTTTATGTTGATGCTTCTCCTCAAATACCTTTTCGTTCCACAATTCTCTTCTCAGTGAACAGTTTTCATGTAATTAAATAGATAGCACATATATATTTTATGCCTTGGAGTTGTTTTGTTTTCTTACATTTCTCAAGGAACTGGACCTGACATATCAAGTCTTTAATTAGCAATCATTTAATGAAGCAATCATTTAATGATATAATATATCATTTAATAATCATCATATATTCTATCATATAATAGCAATTAGCGGACTAGCAATTAGTCCACTATAAATATTTATTCTCATCACATGTATATGTGTGAATGTAAAGTATTAATCTGGATACTTCCCAGTAAGTACAAGGAGAAGATTTATATATTTTGGTTCTGATATTCTTTCCTAAATAAACTTCTTATATGTTCTTCCTTTGAAAATATTTCTAAAGACTTAGTGCTTGTTTTGATTATTGCATACTAAGAAAGACTAAAATATAGTGTTAGTCTTGTATTACAAAGTACACATTCTGTTATTCAGAACTGACTCAAGTTACCACACACCTTTACTGTGATTCTTCATGTACGAGTCATCAGTCTGAGCAGCTCATCAGAGCTGAGACACCACAGATGGTGCAGTAACATCTACTGTCCCCTCTGACCTGCAGGCTCTTCGACACCCGGTACAGCATTCGGGAGAATGGGCAACTCCTCACCATCCTGAGTGTGGAAGACAGTGATGACGGCATTTATTGCTGCACAGCCAACAATGGCGTGGGCGGAGCTGCGGAGAGTTGTGGAGCTCTGCAAGTGAAGATGAGTGAGTAGGAAAGCGAACCCCCTACTGATTGTTCCATAGCAACCAAACTCTACCTCTTATGGCTAACCTCCTTGAACGTATTTCTACTCTTTTACCATATTTCAAACTGAATCTAATTTGCTTCCTTTTCCAGCTTCTGGAGATAAGCTGCATTCCTGGGTCTCTTCCTCCATTTCCATTTACAAACCCAGCCACCACCTACACTGATCTTTCAGTAACTTTCTGCTTAAATGGAGGCTGTTCCGTTTTCTCCAGCTCTGTCTGCAGGGTTAGCAAGTACTGATGGGATTGTTAATCCCCTAGCCCTTAATGCCACTTTTAAAAGACATTGTATATTGTATTCATGTTAAAACTCCTTTCTCTAGTAAGGGCTTATACCAGTCTGACCATTCTTTTTTCTGTGTTCATTGGATAATCTACTCACTCTGAAGCACCCTGTGGTATTTATCAGACTTTGATTTCAGACTCTTTATCTTTTGATTAGTGTCTGCTCCTGCCAACACCCAGACATGAAATAAGACCACTAGCTGCGTCATCCTCAGCAATCCTTGACTTCCACAGGTCGGGTGATGCTTAAGTATTTCTCAGCCTACCTGACCAATTACCTGTCCTCGACCTTGCAATTAGGTCTGCACTTAAAACACGAAGCTCCAGCACATCATTGTCTAGCCATGGACATTTCCTCGTGCAGACTTGTCAGATAAGGAAACCATTTTTCCCACCACCAAAACTTTCCTCCCGGAAAAGGCACAACTCCTGCTGATCATTTCTCAGAAAGCGTGACAAAGTCACTTTCGTTTCCTTACTTTCAATATGCACCGTCACTGACATGATCACACCTTTCTGTTCTTGATCTCTCTCTGGTAGGCCTCTCATTGACTTGCACCTGGAATTGTGTTTACTTCCGCGTGTAGATCTGTCTCCTAGTGTGTCATGAAATACTCCCTCATCACCATGCTCAAACGTGATGCCTTCTGTGCTACAAGCACCTGACACTTGCAATAATATTAACTTTGTACTAGCGGAAAGGTTCTCTTTGGTGACACACAATTGATATACTGGCAACCATACAAATTAGTGAAAATTAGTATTTCCTGGGACCTTTACTTGTTAGGTTGTTGAGTTACTTTTCATAATTTCTTATGTCTTATTACTGTTGTACTGGAGGAAATCATTAAATACCTTTATAGCTGGTGAAGTATTTTCTGTGGTATCTATGCTGATTTCCCATTCCTAATACACTTTATAGATTTAAGTCTCACAAACAATGTTTTAGTGAAAGAAAACTTAAGTTCTAAACATTGAGGTATATATGGCATCTACTAAAGTATTAGCATTTTGTGACTTTCATAATATATTAGACTTAAGTTTATTTGCAACATGTGTTTTTACAGTTAATTAGAAAGTTGGGAGCCCTAGGTTTAATATGCCTTTTTAATTGTTGAATTTCATTTCCCTTTAGAACCTAAAATAACTCGTCCTCCCATTAATGTAAAAATTATAGAAGGATTAAAGGCAGTTCTACCGTGTACCACAATGGGCAACCCCAAGCCCTCGGTGTCTTGGATCAAAGGGGACAATGCCCTCAGGGTAAGTAACTAGGATTTTTAAACACAGAAACCTTTTTAAATGATGCCTTGAAAACTCAGTTTGGTTTTAATTAGCTGATTTACTTTTACATTTTTTCCCATTTACCTTTAGCCAACCTTAAACATGTTCATTTCCCTAAATGCAAACTGCTGATCATTCCAGTTGGGACTAGCCAGAAGAAAAGTGATAGGGCACAGAAATATTATGAATGCAACAGAGTAAAAAGAATGAGCCGAGCTAGCATCGTCTTTGTTGGTGTTGGTGGTGATTGAATAATTCATTTATGTTTTAACAATAAATTATAAAACACAGGAGACAGTATGAATAAAACTAAGATCTAAATTTTAGAACTGATCGTTTCTGGGAAGAATGAGGGAAGGAATAAGAACACGGGGGAGAAGGCAGAGCAAGAACTGAAGACTCATATTAAACATGACCCTAAGAAGAAAATTGATTTAAAGCCCAATTCTTCAAATGCTCATTTTGTACTGATGTGTATCTGTACCCACATTTGCTGGGAAATTGCCGTGCTACGTCATCATCATCTCTTTGTACCTTTGCGTCACCTAAATTGAAATCACAGAGTGTGTGTTCTCTCTTACTATGCCAAGCATGGTCATGGGGCAAATGAGGTGTCAGTATACGGACCAATTAATTGGGATTAGATACACAATGTGTTAGGTTTGCTTTTTTAAAACAATAAAACTGACAAAGTCAACTTTAAATTATAATCTATATAATTCTCTTTATTTCCTGTTTTTAAAATCCCAATGTATTTCCTATAAGGAAAAATGAAATGTGGCCCTATGTCTCTTACTAAAATTACGTATTTAAAAAGAAAAGGAAAATGTAATATTTTAGCTTTAAATCGTAAAAATTTTTTAAAGAAATCTTTTCTTCTAAAGAGTACATAGGTTTTGTGGTAACTGAATTACTTAAAAGAACTGATTTTATTCAGACTTGAGTTGCACTCAGGAAGTTGAGTCCTCATTTATTTCATGATATGAAAGAATATAAAAAATAAACACACATCAGGAGATCACCATGAATGTTAAACTCAGTCATTTTCCTCTCTCCCATTTAATATTGTGATATGTCGTAAGTTCCAAGGTAAAAGCTAAGGTTTTTGAGGATAAGATTGGTGGGAAGACTTGATGAAATAGGGTGACTGTATCCATGACAGAATCATGGACACTTTCGAATTTGTGTCCTTACCTCTGGCAGGAAAATTCCCGCATTGCCGTCCTTGAATCTGGGAGCTTACGGATCCATAATGTTCAAAAAGAAGATGCAGGACAGTATCGGTGTGTGGCAAAGAACAGCCTCGGGACAGCATATTCCAAACTGGTGAAGCTGGAAGTGGAGGGTAAGTTGGCACAATCATGCCCATGATGCTGTGATGGGAGGAACTCAGGTTTTACTGTGTAGACTACTCATTGGCTTGAGAAAGAGGAGATAGAGGGGTTAAGGTCTTTTAACTGTGCCAAATTTTGGACCATAGGGGAAAGAAGGAAAAAGAAGGAAATCCTCATCAACATAAAAGGTTATAAATTTACCGTAATACTAAGTAATCAGGTACCATTTTAGAACTTTGACCTGCCTTGGAAAATTCTCCCTCATGAATAAATTTGGAGATAATAATCTTATGTTTTTATCCCATAGAATGACTTTTAAAAAGACATAGAATGGGAAGGAATGGGAAGGAATAACTGTTTTCATATGGTATTTGGTCATAAGAATTTTCAAAAGGACTCAAAATGTCCTATCAAAATTATCCAAAGATATAAAGTTTTGTTGCCAGCATAATTTTATTTTTAAAAAAATCTACTAATTCAGCAACCTTGTATGAAAGGTCTTCACTGAGAAATCAGAATCCAAAGGGATCTGGGCATTTCACGGTTTGCTAGGTCTTTATCTGGAACTGCATCTTACTTCATGTAATCGCAGGAACTCTCAGCACCCATGTACTAGGTGATTGAACTAAGTACACACCTGTCCCGGCTCCTCTGTTACTAGCTACAGAATTAATATCTCTGGCCCTCAGGGGTTCATTTCTGGATGTTTTTCTTCGTATTTAACGAATGGGGTATTGATAATACTTAGAAATGCTTAGTGCTTTGCACACAATAAAGCTTGCGTATAATCATCACCTGTTTTCTACTTTTACCTCCTCTGAATTGAGCGCACTATGCTGTGCCACATTAGCCTCATTTATGGCTCAACCAGCAGCAGTTTCAAAGGTCCATTTCTTGAGTCCATTGTGCATTTTTTCCCCTCTTACAAATTTTCTATTATCTTCTTTAAGATTATTTTTATTTCTTAGTATTTATCTTTTCTTCACAGTACTCATGGTTAATTGCATCAATTTTACATAAATTGCCAATTAACTCCTCTTTAAAAAGTCTGAGGTTGGTGAAAGTTGTGGTTTCAGAAAACATATTGTCAGAGTTGTTGTTGTAATGTCTTATAAAACATCGATGCCATTTAAAGTTCAACAACCAGTCAATATGAATTATTCTGTGAAAAACAAATAAACTCATGAATAAACCAGGGCATTTGTTTATACAGATGGTAGATCATCCCAGATTCAGTGTTTTCTTGAACTCTCTGTGGATTGATACAGAATTAATGCTGCTTATTTGTGTAAATTACAAAATGAATTTTTTTCAAGACATTATGTGTAAACATAAGTCCTTTCAATTATAAAATAAATGATCTCTGAACCACTATCTTCATAGGTAATAAAATAAATCATTTTAACTTTGGCCTAGAGAACATTAGGATAAATTTCAATTAATTAGAGTTTAGTTGCACAACTCTATTTTGCTATCATGTTTAGTGAAAACACTGAATAACATATTCGTTCTAATATTTAAATGATAACTCTAATTGCTTTAACAGTCAAAATATTCTAAAGGTTTTTTTAAACTTTCTAGTACCAAGAGTTCATAACGCCATTTAAGTTCCTCTAATATTAGGTGGGATGATAATTTTAACACACATATTCTGCACAAATTCTAGTCCGTATTAATAACAGTAAAATTATATGACACAGCACAGTTTCTGGCATATAAGGAGTATTTAATAAATGGTGTTCACTGTCATTATCATATTGGAGTGTACTAATAGCAACACATCAGTCTGGGCTCTGGAAGCCCCGACAGGCTCATTTCCACTTGAAAAATGAGTTCAGGCATTTCCAAAAGATATAGTGGAAACAGAATCAATTTATTTTTTAAAGTGAATCATCACCAAATTTTATTATTGTATTAGAAATAACAAATTATTTGTGAAACTCATTAAAATCAAACCACAATGAAAATAGTCTATATAATCTTCATGTAAATTTCACACATGAAAAATAACAAAAATTTGAAACTTGAAATATTATTAGAGAAAGCTAGAAACGTCATTATTTTCACCAAGATGCAACAGAAGTTGACTGCATGTTGAGTAGCCAGGATGCCAAAAAAAGAGTTGATGTAGACCAGATGACTTAAACAAACCAACTGGGTTCCTTATAGTTCAGAAGAGTCATCTTAACCTATAACACAGAGCAAGTGAAACAAAATAGAGAAAGGACTAAAAGAACCCTGAAAGTCCTTGAAACTTCTTGTTAGCTTGTGAGTGGTGAGAGCTGAAGGTGAGGCTGGCCCATGATCATTTGGGGTAAATGAATACACATCATATTGTAACTACACAAAGTATTTACACACTGGCCATATTGAATCAGAATTCCATCATAAAATTTGATGCTGGACTATCTTATCACAGCTGTATATGTCATGGAAAGATACAGTCCTTGCATCATCAGCCTCTGTTAGTATAAACATGGAAGGCTATTGACTCGATCCTGTGTATTAACTAGATAATTAGCTGTCACAACAAATATGAAAGAACTGCTGTACCACATGGAGGTAAAACTCCCTGTTAGATTGTAATCCACAGTATGCTGAATCTCTGTAAAGATAATCTACTCTTCTGTCTTGTCGTAACAAATTTTAACAGCAATGTATGGAATCACAGATGGAAACATTTAACTCAAGTGTGGTCTAGCATGATGTCTCTCTATAAGGATGGCTAACATCTTAAAACCAGCACTGATGCTAAATTAGGTTGATTATGTTGTTTAATCTCTGTGTTTCTCTATGAGGAAGGTTCCTTAGGAAACAGAAATAGAGAGGAGAGCTGACTTACACAAGGTTGAAGAGACAGTTAAGTTTAAGAAATGAGTAAGGCTCAGTAATGTCGATTCTGCTAAAGAACAAGGTAGTCCTGAGTGGCATTGTTTATAGTATCAGGATCGAACTGAGAGAAGAGCCTAGAACTCTTTATGTGAAAAATAGAGTATTAACAGAATGTGGAGAGAGAAGGAGGGAGAGAGAGAGAGTAGTTGAAAGAGGGACCAGTAGCTGGACATATACATGACATATAGGCAGTATTGTTGACAAGATTTTTCTTTCAGAAAGATTGAAATGTTACAAAATAATGAAAATGTTAAAACGTTAATGATAAGGGGAATTGGAACAGGCAAGAGAGAAGGAAAATAGTCAGGGGCATCTGATGCTTAATAAGACACAAATGTGTACTCATAGTCTAAGTGAAACTTTATGCAGAGGATGACCACACGTCCTGGTTTTACCAGGACAGTTCTGGATTACACCTGTTGTCCTGCAGTAATTATTAATAGAATCCCTCTTTTACTTTTATTACTATCCATGCTTCCATGATGAATTATATAGTAACTCTCCTTACACAGGAAGAGAGGGTAGGGAGGACGTGGGTATTTTCCAGTATAAATCTATTCATAAGTTTGGTGGATGGAATTTGAAAAAGTTCTGTGCTCTACTCAGTAGAGTGTAAAGTTATCTTCTGAAAATACTTTTGTAAGGGCACCAGGGGAGGGATGTGGGGATGAAGATAATGGAAAGTTTTTAAAATAGTAAGGAATGGGAGAGATGACTCACAAAGGAAATAAGGATTGGGGTTGGAGGGGGGCAGTGGTCAACACTGAGGTTTTGGTCACAAACAGGGACATGAATATAGAGTAGGAAAAAATGTAGGATTTTGTCCTTTATGTTATTCTTGTACAGTATAAGTCCAGGAAATGTAGAAAGTTAAATTCAGTGGTAGGGCAAACATGTTGAAATTCTGTGCAGAAAAAAAATTGCGTGAATGACTTAAGAAAATTGCAAAAGAAAGATTGATGTACTAAATCATGCAATCTTATCATACCAAATTATCATATCCAATTACCAGCTATTTAAAAGTTTCTACCTAAGAAGAAACATATTAGCTCCAATCATATTACAGATAATATGAAAATCTTTTTCCTAATAACATTTAGAAATGCTGACTTAGTTGCATAAGTAAAATTTACAAGAGTACTTCAAAATGATTGCCAAAAATGGCAATAAAGGAAACCTTATCATTGGGAAGAACTAATACATAATTTGGGGAAAAATGGTTTTTTTCCAAGCATTGCACTGTTTTTAGAAAGGGGCACAAAGTATTTTATTCATTGGCTTGATTTTACTTTAACACTTCGGTAACTCCTCTCTTTTCTAAAACAAACTTAGGGAAGGGAAACGTTTTCTCAAAGGCGATTGAGGAATACTGTTCCATTAGGTATTTGCAATACTTAGCTATTGGGTAAGGAAAGCAGGTGGTCTCCCTTGGAAAGGAGTGCATTCATAAAGGCAGTAAGCTTGCCTGCTACAAGAAGTACGTGGAGTTACCTTGATGAAGCAAAGTGAAGGAAACCAAAGAATGGTGGCTGCGGATGGATTACCAATTCATTTGGCTCTCCTTATTTTTGCAAAACATATCTGGAGTTTGTGAATTCATAGTGATTTGGAGGACTCATCATGAAAACTCAGTTTGGGTTCTGATTTCTCAGCGAATATTGGCCATGCTTCATTGGATGTTATTGACTTACAGCATAAAATTAAAAGTAAAAGCCTCGAAATCCCTCCCCCCCAAAAAGTGAAGGCCCACTAGGCGGGAATCATACAAATACATTGGCATGATGTTGGCAGGGAAACCTGTGTTGTTTCCTGAAATCCACAGTCCTCTGGAATTCAGACAACAGTTCTCAATCTCCCATCTGTAGATTTTCTTCCTTCAGAAAAGTTAACCTTTTCCTAAGTACCTGTGTGGCAACAAGCTTTGGTCTAGGTTTGATGGGAGGGAGTGATCAGGGGACATAATTTTGTTGAGTATCAATACAGAAATCTACCACATCACTTTTTATAGATTCTAAGGTGCTAAACTTTTAAATATTTTACTAAACTTTTAAATATTTTACTCTATTGGGTAGTATCTCATTGTCATTAGTTTCTTATGATGACTAGTAGCTAATTTTTG